TTGTTGGTGATGGTGTTGTTGGCGGCGGTGGTGGTGGTGGCGTAGGCCACCGTGTAGGGGTGGTCGCAAGTGGCGGTGGAGACATTGGAGGGGGCTGATGGTATGTGACCAATCAGTTGACCCGTGACCAACGTTATGACCTGAGTCATATTCTGTGACCTGTGCTGTGATCTGCGACCTGTGCTGTGACCTATATTGTGACTTGAGCCATGTGTTGTGACTTGAGCCATGTGCGATATATTTTGTCAACCATGCTGTGACCATTTGAAAATAACCCGTGACCTGACTTGTAACCTGCGCTGTGACCATACAACATCTGTGACTAAAAATATAATTTGTGACCTTAAAATTCGATAACCTGTGATAAAAAATATAATTTGTGACCAACCATTTTGCTATCTGTGACCTAAAAATTATATAATCTGTTATCGTGAAAAAATCTGTGATCAACTAATTTGGAAGTTTGTGACCGTGTGATCTGTAAATTTTGATCTGTGACCAACTAATTTTGAAATATGTGACCAATGAATTACTTGTGACCTCCAAAATTTTTGAACTGTGACCGTAAAATAGTCAAAGAATGGTCAACGAAACGGTCATCGGAATCGAAAATGTCACCGGAACGGTCAACGAAATTGTCACCGGAATCGGAGTAGTCGCCGGAACACTCATCGGAGTAGTTGCTGGAATGGTCGTCGGAACGCCGGGGGTGGTGGAGATGGGTGGGTTAATTAATTAATTAATTAATTATATCTTTTTATATTTTTATATATATAAATAAAAAATATATAAATATATATGTGTATGTATAGGTCAAAAATCTGATTTTTGAAATGTGAAAGATGTTTTGTCATTTTTGAAATAGGATAAACTTATAGTAGGATTAATGAATTTTTCCCAAAAAAAAATTCTTCTAACTTCAGGACAAAATTTTAGGCCCAAATATACAAATCAAGAACTTGGTTGAGTTCACTGGTAAAAGGGCTTACGACATCAGGCAGAAGTCCTAATTAAACGTG